TTAAACAACTTAGAGCTACCAATACTAATTTTTATATGTACAAACTAACATTTGGGAATTAAATGATAAACAACTTGTTAAATCTTTGTATTTTACATCAAGCCTTTGAATTAGTTCCTTTTATCTCTTGGTAAAAAAATATTAATGAAAGACTTACAAATCAAGTTTCTCGAAAATAGTATTTTGTACAAAGAAACTAAATAATTGGAAAGGTCACATGTTGAAGACAGACTTTGCTTCTTTGACTAGGTTGCTTGACCATGAGGAAATTTAAATTTGTTTACAATTTGTTTAAATAATTCTTTTTATTGATTTCTATTAATTCTTCATAAGACATTTCTTTGCCATCTATTTTTGCTTCTTCTATATTCAACTTCATTGTAACCAATGCATCCGATGTGAATTTGTGGATCACCTGGAATCATACCAAGTATGGATTTGGTGAGATGAGACAATAATATGTTTAATTTTTCATGCATATTAATGATATAATCATAAGCTACTGTTGAACAAAAATTTCAAGTTAGAAACAAATCTTAGCACATTGTTCAACACACTACTTTTATCTTGGTTTTGAAGTAGTAACCTGTTTACTATAACAATAAATACTTCATTTACAGTAACGCTAAGTAGTACTTTAAAATTGTTTGCATAAATCCAACTTTCCAATCCCATTATAATTGTCTACACTATACAGTCAGTCAAATTGAGCAGGCAAACAGTTTAATAGTTATTTTTATTATACAACATATACCATAGTTCTCATTAATTTTGCATGGCACTGCATTCAATTTCAACACAACTCTGTTGTAAACTTTCCCTTCATCTTTTCAAAAAAAACATGAACAAATTATGCCCCATTTTTGGGAGGTAAACTCAATTCAAATCAGGAGAGTTTAGCTTGATGCCTTGATCATGATACAAGATGGATGCAAAACTCGATAAAGATGGACAGCTTCGCCTCGTCTGGCGAGCGAATAAGTGAAGAACAAACAAGACTGGACCAAAATAACTTTAAATTAAAACTTAGTAGTAGAAACACTCTTCAAGTATTGTGTTAAAAACAAAATAGTAAAACTAATACTGTGCTACTTACCGGAGTCATGAAATGTTCCCTTTTCCGTATTTCAGCATCCGCAAACCACAAAAGTTGGCAGCGTAATAAATAAAGTTTTAAAAAAGTGTTTATGTTAGGAAAATAAATAGTTTTGATATTTTCTATACTCGCAATCGTGGTGTTCAAATCAGGGTGGGCGACAAAAATTTTATTTCATGAGCCCGCGTCTCTCCGCTGACTTTGACCACCAAAATCCGCCATGTTTTTGACCACGCGGCCGCGCGCTAATAATTTATACTAATTTTGTTGACGTTTCCCCTCCAGTTATTATAGAACTCAATGAGCAGCATGCGCGGCCCCAAAAACATCAGAGGTTCCGACAAGAGTGGCCCTTCTGTATAGTATATTTTCTGTGATATAGGGTTAGGGTTAGGTTTTTATATATATATATATATAAGTTTGAAAATTGGTAATCCAGGCATTTAATACATAAAAAATGAAAGTTTCTCTGGATCTTTAAAAATTATTTTATTGAGCTTTCGACTCGTTGCTTCAAGCCTTCATCAGAATGAGGATATTTATTTACACGTACTTTTAGCTTGGAGACGTTTAGAGCGTCTAATTGGATTAGTGGGTGGATTAATGTGAATTGAATGGGTTGAAATACGTTGCCATGGGTTTTGGTGTATTGTGAATATGGTTGGTGTTAATAATATTAGAGTGTAGTATTTTAGTTTTGGTGTTGTTTGTAGTTTTTTTGTCCTTTTTCTTTAGTTATGAGTATATGCTGGGTATGTCGATATGTCTGTTTATTGTGTCGTTGTCTTTACTGTACCAAGCTTCTTTAAATTCGTGTGCGTGTTTAGTCTGTGCGCGTCCGAGTACTTTAGTTTCTGTCCAGTGGAATGTGTGGTTGTTTCCGTGGGTATGTTCTGCCGGTAGTGAGTTCGGATCTCGTCGTTTTATGGCGTTTTTGTGTTCTGTGAGTCTTGTTTCAATTTTCTTAGATGTTTGTCCTATGTATTGCTTTGAACAGTCTTTACATGGTATCATGTAGATCGCGTCAGTTGTATCATGAATTGTTGTTTTGTCTTTATGTTTGGTGAAACATGATTTGAGTTTTTGTGTAGGTTTGTGGGCGACGTTGATATTAAATGGTCGAAGAAGTCTAGCAGTCATTTCTGATGTTCCGTTTATGTATGGTAATGTGACGATTTTTACTGTTTCGTCCGGTTTTTTTGTTGTTTTTGTCGGTTTGTGTTTTGTTTTGTATTTTGTATATAGTTTTGTTTATGAAGTTTCTAGGGTAATTGTTTTTAATAAATGTGGAGTATAAGTAGTTGCGTTCTGTTTTTTTGGCTTCTTCAGTATTACAATGAGTGTTTATCCTGTTGAAAAGTGTTCGAATGCAGCTTATTTTGTGTTGTGTTGGATGATTGCTGTGGAAATCGAGTATTTGGTCTGTGTGGGTGGTTTTGCGGTATACTTGTGTGTTTAGTGTACCGTCATCTGTTCTGGTTAGTAGGATGTCGAGGAATGTAAGTTGTTTGTCGTGCTCTTCATCTTTAGTAAAGGTAATGTTCTTTGTGGTATTGTTTATGGTGTGTAGGATTTGTTCAGTTTTGTCTTTCTTGACTATGGCAAAGATGTCGTCGACATATCTTTTCCATAGTCTGATGTTTGTGTTGTTTGTGACTGATTGTGTTTTGAGGTGTTTCATGACAGCTTCTGCGAGGAAGGTGGATAGTGGTGATCCCATTGGTGCGCCTGAAATTTGTCTGTAGTATGTGTTTTGGAAGTTGAATTCAGTGGAGAGGCAAAGGTTGAGTAAGTCTAGGATGTCATTTTTGTCTAGTTGTGTTGTAGCTTGCCAAGTTTTGTCGTTTGTGAGTAGTTCGTTTGTAATTTGTTTGGCTATGTCTAGTGGTATGGATGTGAAGAGTGATGTCACGTCGTAGGATATCATGATTTCGTCTGGTCGTAGCTTAATGTTTTCAATACTGGCAAGGAAAGTGGTGGCATTTCTGATGGTGTGAGGTGAATTTTTGACTAATGGATACAGAATGTTATAAAGATATTTTGAAAGTTTATATACTTGTCTCTGTTGTAATTTTTCTCATTATCTCTCATTATATACTTTTAACTATTGTGCCCAGGGACAAAACAAGAATGCTAATTGGGGAGGTGAATGTTCAGCTTAGTCTCAATGGTTTTAATTGAAAATACATACATAATGTTGCGAGAGCATTTAATGAGGAACATTGTTCTTTTTTCAAACATTATTTTTCATTGCGTCAATGGTCCAGAAGAGGTCGACTGCCCACCCCATTGGAATGTTGAAGATTTAACTCGTTTTCCTCCACGCAACAGAAAAGGTAAGACGTGATGATTTCGGTGTCACATGCGACATTTTAGCACATTCCAATTTTACTTTTAAAATAAAGGAAGTAGTCGCCACTTGTATGGTCTGGTGGCAACAATCTTTCATTAACACTCATATTTGTGTTCTTGGCACGGAGGTATGTTCGTCATAGATCTATAATTTCATACCATTCTAAGGCCTGAAAATATCAGTCAAAGACCCATAACTACCATTCAAACACCTAAAACTACCATTCAAACACCTAAAAATACCATTCAAACACCTAAAACTACCTTTCAAAGACCTAAAACTACCATTCAAACACCTAAAACTACCTTTCAAAGACCTAAAACCACCATTCAAAGACCCGTAACTACCATTTAAAGACCTAAAACCACCATTCAAAGACCTAAAACTACCTTTCAAAGACCTAAAACTACCTTTCAAAGACCCATAACTACCATTCAAACACTTAAAACTACCATTCAAACACCTAAAACTGCCATTCAAAGACCTAAAACTACCATTCAAAGACCTAAAGCTACCTTTCAAAGACCTATAACTACCATTCAAAGACCTATAACTTTGCTAAGAATTTTACTGTTTCACGTATCTTAATGTTCGATCCATCAGAATTTTATAACTACTGTAGCAAATTTCTCCTTTGCACGTTAGCAGAAAGCAGTTATGCGTCCGCCGGTTCTCTATGGGACTGTATACTATCTAAAGCTAGCGCGCAGTCAAACACAATTCTCAAACTCTCAATTCTCATCAATTTAATTTTCTAGTCAAAGTTATACATCAATTTCAATTCATGCTCCTTACTCGTTCACAGGCATCAACAAAAGACAATGCCGTCTTAATTTGACCCTTCTAAAATACTCAATAATCATAAGTTCCTTTTTCCGCTTTAACGACAAGTTCCTAGTCTCAAATAACAAACATAATTTATTTACCTAATTTCCGACACACTCCCCCTTTGAGCCTTTAGGGTCAAACATAACTTTTGTTCGCCAATATGCATCCACAGCTGCAGCCCTTCTGGGTCTCCTGTTACTTCCTGCTATGCTCTCCTTTTCTCTATCCTCTAATTTCTCACTACCTTGCACTCCGTTATCATGTACCCTTACATCTATCTCAAGTGAATACAATTTTTGCAGAGGCCTACTTATATACTGAGGCCATCCTTTACTGACAACTCTGACTTCTGCTCCTCTGACTATATCATCCTTTCCTACGACTAATCTCTCAATTCTTGCTGTTTTCCAAAACCCTCTTTTTAAACCTTCGTCAAAAACAAGAACGACATCACCTACTTTTGGACAAAAAACTACCCTTCACTTTTCCGACCTTATGGTATTCTCTTAAATTTGTTAAGTACTCCTTCCTCCACCTTGACCAAAAATGTGTCCTCAATTTCGCTAAATATCTAAACCTACGTTTTATCTCTCCTTCATCTTCATCCCTAATAGCGTTTTGAACTTCCTCGTCTGGACTAGATGCTAATCGTCTTCCAAACATGAGATGGGAAGGAGTCAGTACATCCACATTTACTTCATCATCGTACACATACGTCAATGGTCAGGAGTTTAACGTAGCTTCTACCTCAACTAATGTCGTCAACAGTTCTTCCCTATTCAATTTAGCATTATCCAATATCTTCCTCAGACAACCTTTCGCCAACGCTACCATTCTTTCAACAAATCCACTCCACCAAGGTGTCTTGGCCAAATTAAATTTCCACACCAACCTATTACCTTCCAAAAATGATTTCACCTTCTTGCTATCATAGATCCCCTTCAATGCTTTCTCAGTTGCCTTAAACGTCTTGGCATTGTCGGAAACCATTAGCGAAGGTGTTCCCCTTCTAGTGGTGAACCTTCGCATGCAATTCAAAAAACAACGTGTACTTAAACTCTCTCCTAAGTCAACGTGAATTGCTCTTGTCACACAGCAAGAAAATAATGCAATGTACACCTTAACCCTCTGCCCACCTTCTTTTGCAAAAAATGGTCCCGCAAAATCCACACCTACCTTAGAAAGGGGAGGGGAATATTGTACTCTAAAGTCTGGAAGATCTGCTTGCACTGGTGTTTTGTAAGCCTGGCCTTGATGCCTTCTACAAATCATACAATTACCAATCACCCTTTCCACAATCTGTCTACCTCGAGGCACCCAAAATTTGCTGCGTAGCTGAGCTAAGGTCGCTCTCACCTTCCTATGGCAATCTTTAATGATTAATTCTGTTAAGTGGTGATCCTTAGGCAATAAAATTGGTTCCCTCGCTTCTAACTCTAACTCTGAATTGCCAAGTCTACCCTTACATTTAATCAATCCATTACGCTCCACTATGTTCAATTGTCTGACTATTTGCTCATAATCACTACGTTTCCTTACTTCCTTCTGAGCCCATTTTATCAACACTTGCTTTGCTATCACCAGCTCTGATACTCTCAATGCTCCCGTATTCCCTGCCTCATGCTTAACTTTTGCCTTCAAATTGTCTACAAACCGTCAAACAAATGCCATGACCTTTACAAGTATTTCTATATCACTAAAATCCCCAAACTTCACTGCACTCTCTACTACCTGTGTTGCAACTAATGCAGCCCCTTTTACCTCAGCAAGACTTTCCTCTGTATCATTAACCTCTTTTGCCCTTGGCCATTTGCACTGTGGACCTGACAACCACCTTGGTCCTTTCCACCAAAGCTCACTTCCCTTTAAATGCGATGCTGCAACTCCCCTAGAGCCTAAATCAGCTGGGTTCTTTACACCTGGGCAATGTCTCCAATCATCCTTTCTGCTCAATTTTAAAATTTCGTTAACTCTATGGCGTACAAATTGTTTCCATTCTCCCTTATTACTGATCCAGCACAATGCAGTCATGCTGTCTAACCAATAGTATGTTCCAATAAACTGTACGTATCCTCCCAACGCTGACTTCACTGTGCCATTAGCACTGCCAGTATCCTAGCCGACATAAGTTCTTATCTGGGAATTGTCTGCAATTTCAATGGCGCTATCCTCGTTTTTGCAGTAAGTAATTCTACATGATAAGCCCCCTTTAGTTCTGTTACGAAATATATTACTGCACAGTATGCCTTCAGGCTGGCATCTGCATACCCATGCAAGTAACACTTTGTCTCACCAATCAAACTACCATAAACAAATCTCGTCACTACTAAGTCTCTTACTTCCTCTTACTCTTCTATCCACACCTCCCACCGTTTCCTCTTGTCACCATCCAACTCTTTTTTCCCATTCAATGTTCTCAATACACAACTCCAGAAACAATAACTTAACACAAACTATGATTGGGCTTACAATACCAACGGGTCAAATAATCCTGCAAGTACACTTAGTATGTTCGCTTACTAGGAATGAGTGCTTTTGCTCTTTCAGGCGGTTTCCGCAGGCAAAACACAAATTGATCTGATTTACACACCCATCCCAATCCCAGTACCTTCTCAAAACTTCCACTACCACTATTTTTCTCAACAGATGCTTTTGCGTAAGTTTGATCATCAACCACATTCTTCACAACTCCATCTACCTTTCTCCCTTCTAAATTGCTTCCTTCTCTTCTTTCTATTTCTTTAAGAACACTCTCATCATTACTGAGACACTTCCTAAACTTAAATCCCCCTGCAGCCATTCACTTACTTGCTGTCTCATATAACATGATTGCTGCTTTCCCCGATTGATCACCTGACACAAGGACATCTACATAAAAGCTGTCTCTGAGTTTCCTAACAAATTCTCTATCTACTTCCATGAATGAGTCTAAATGATACTGTCGCGTTGCATTCAACAAAAATGGAGAGCAAATTAACCACAAACACTACTCTACAAAACCGGTAATCCACATGTCTTACCCTTTCACTATTCACATCATCTACCCATAAAAATCTTAGGCAATCCCTGTCCGAAGTGTCAACTGCAATTTTCAAAAATGCCTTTTCATTGTATGCCACTAACGCAACTCTTTTCTCCCTAAACCTTATCAAAATGTGAAATAACAATGGCACTAATTTAGGTCCAGCATGCAAACAGTCATTAGGCGAGGAATCTTTTGGTGACTCTTTACATGACGCATCATAAACAACTCGTACCTTGGTTGTCTTTGCATCTTTACGAACAACTCCATGATGTGGTAGGTAATGTATTTTATCGGCTCGCTCTAATTCTATGACTGGCTCTATAACACCGTTACTCAACTGATCCTTGATTGTCTTGTCATACTCGTTCAAAATGTCTGGTTCTTTCTTCAGCTGGACTAACTGACCTTTTAGTCTTTTCAAGCTTACATTAAAATTTGTAGAATCTAATCTATGTCCTTCGTTCCAAGGCAAATTAACACTGTATCTTTTACAATTAAACACAATAGAATCCTTCGAAGACTCGTGAATCTCGTCCTCTTTAACTATTCCTATAGTTTCAAAATCCCACGCGCTTGACATCTGTTCAAATGCATAAATTATAGTCTTTTGATGAAAATTTTGAAATAGGATAAAATTCATTTTCAGGGGAGGTAGAATTCCTATTTTTGTAAAAGTTCTTTTTGTTGTGGAAAATCTGTTCAAATGCATGAATTATAGTCTTTTGATGAAAATTTTGAAATATTATAAAATTCATTTTTAGGAGTGGTGGAATTTCTATTTTTGTAAAAGTTCTTTTTGTCGTGGAAAATGTGTTCAAATGCATCAATTATAGTCTTTTTGATGAAAATTTTGAAATATGATAAGATTTATTTTTAGGGGGGTGGATTCCCATTTCTGTAAAGTTCTTTTTGTTGTTCAAAATCTATTCAAATGCATAAATTATAGTCTTTTGATGAAAATTTTGAAATATAATAAAATTCATTATTCAATCTAATAACGTTAAAAGAATGATTTTTGCACAACTTTGACAAAAAAAATTGGATTAACATTTTTTATTTAAAATATGTTTCTTTAATAAAATTGATTGCAAAAAAGTTAAAAAATTAACGCTTTTGTTAAAAAACTTAGTGTCTTAAAAAATAGCTATAACAGATAAAAATAATCTAATAACAATAAAATCACGAATTGCGCACAATTTCACTAAAAAAGTAAGACTAGAATTTTTTTAGTAAAAAGATTGTTTGGTTTTTATAAATTTAAAATAAAAAGGACGAAACAGTTTAAAAACTAGCATTTTATTATAAAAACTCTGTTGTTATAAAAATAAGTGATATAATTACAAATTAATCTAATGACGTTAAAAGAATGATTTTTGCACAACTTTGACAAAAAAAATGGGTTAACATTTTTTATTCAATGTTGTTGCTTTAATAAAATTGAAGACAAAAAAAACTTAAAAAATAGAAGCTTTTATTAAAAATACTCAGTGTCTTGAAAAATACATATAAAAGGTTAAAATAATCTAATAACAATAAAAGCATGAATTGTGCACAATTTTACTAAAAATTTAAGACTATAACGTCTTTTTGAAATTACTTGGTTTTTATAAATTTACAATAAAATTTAAATACTAGCATTTTATTACAAAAACTCTGTTGTTTTAAAAATAAGTGATATAATTAAAAAATAATCTAATAACGTTAAAATAATGATTTTTGCACAACTTTGACAAAAAATTGGATTAACATTTTAATTTAAAATATGTTGCCTTAATAAAATTGAAAACAAAAAAAACTTGAAAAAGAGAAGCTTTTATTAACAAAATTTAGTGTCTTGAAAAATACCTATAACAGATCAAAATCATCTAATAACAATAAAAATATTGAATTGTGCACAATTTCACTAAAAAAATAAGACTATAATTATTTAGTAAAAAGATTGCTTGATTTTTATTAATTTAGAATAAGGAGGATGAAAAAGTTTATAAACTAGCATTTTATTATAAAAATTCTGCTGTTTTAAAAATAAGTGACATTAATCGAATTTCTTGTACTCACTTGTGGAAAACTATTATTAAGTATGTCATCTTTTCAAAATGCGAACAAAAGCTTGCAAAGATCTTAATGAGAGTGAAGTCAACCGAGAAATAGAAAGCAGTTATGGTCTAAAACTTCTTTTTGTTGTGGAAAATGTGTTCAAATGCATAAATTATAGTCTTTTGATGAAAATTTTGAAATATGATAAAATTTATTTAATGGGGGGTGGAATTCCTATTTTTGTAAAAAATCTTTTTGTTGTGGAACATGTGTTCAAATGCTTGATTTATAGTCTTTTGATGAAAATTTTGAAATATGAGAAAATTCTTTTTCATGGGGGATGGACTTCCTATTTTTGTAGAAGTTCTTTTTGTTGTGGAAAATGTTTTCAAATTCAAAAATTATAGTCTTTTGATAAAAATTTTGAAATATGATAAAATTTATTTTCAGGGGGGTGGAATTCCTATTTTTGTAAAAAATCTTTTTGTTGTGGAAAATGTGTTCAAATGCTTGATTTATAGTCTTTTGATTAAAATTTTGAAATATGATGAAACTCATTTTCAGGGGGGGGAGGGGGTGGAATTCCTATTTTTAAAAATTTTTTTGATGTGGAAAATGTGTTCAAATGAATAAATTATAGCCTTTTAATGAAAATTTTGAAATATGACAAAATTCGTTTTCAGGGGGGTGGAATTCTTATTTTTGTAAAAGTTCTTTTTATTGTGGAAAAAGTCTACAAATGAATAAATTTATAGTCTTTTGATGAAAATTTAGAAATATGATAAAATTCATTTTTAGGGGTGGTGGATTTCCTATTTTTGTAAAAGTACTTTTCTTCGTGGAAAATGTGTTCAAATGCTTCAATTATAGTCTTTTTATGAAAATTTTTAAATATGATAAAATTTATTTTCAGGGGGTGGAATTCCTAATTTTGCTACAATAAAAGTTTAAATACTAGCATTTTATTATAACAACTCTGTTTTAAAAATAAGTGATATTGTGACGAAATAATCTAATAAATTTAAAACAATGATTTTAGCACAACTTTGTCAAAAAAATTGGATAAACATTTTTTATTTAAAATATGTTTCCTTAATAAAATTTAGGGCAAAAAAGTTAAAAAATTAACGCTTTTGTTAAAAAACTTAGTGTCTTAAAAAATAGCTATAACAGATAAAAAATAATCTAATAACAATAAAATCATGAATTGTGCACAATTTCACTAAAAAAGTAAGACTAGAATTTTTTTAGTAAAAAGATTGTTTGGTTTTTATAAATTTAAAATAAAAAGGACGAAAAAGTTTAAAAACTAGCATTTTATTATAAAAACTCTGTTGTTATAAAAATAAGTGATATAATTACAAAATAATCTAATAACGTTAAAAGAATGATTTTTGCACAATTTTGACAAAAAATTCCATTAACATTTTTCATTTAAAATATGTTGCCTTAATAAAATTGAAGACAAAAAAACTTTAAAAATAGAAGTTTTTATTAAAGAAACTTAGTGTCTTGAAAAATGCCTATACTGATCAAAATAATCTAATAATAATTAAAGCATGATTTGTGCAAAATTGTGCACAATTGTGCACAATTTTACTAAAAATGTAAGACTAGAACTTCTTTTTGAAATTACTTTTTCTATATAAATTTACAATAAAAATTTAAATACTGGCATTTTATTATAAAAACTCTGTTGTTATAAAAATAAGTGATATAATTACAAAATAATTAAATAACGTTAAAAGAATAATTTTTGCAAAATTTTGACAAAAAATTTGCATTAACATTTTTATTTAAAATATGTTGCCTTAATAAAATTGAAGACAAAAAAACTTAAAAAATAGAAGTTTTTATTAAAAAAAACTTAGTGTCTTGAAAAATACCTATTACTGATCAAAATAATCTAATAATAATTAAAGCATGAATTGTGCACAATTTCACGAAAAATGTAAGACTAGAACTTCTTTTTGAATTTACTTGGTTGTTATAAATTTATAATAAAAAGGATGAAAAAGTTTAAAAACTAGTATTTTATTATAAAAATTCTGTTGTTTTAAAAATAAGTGATATTATGACAAAATAATCTAATCCCGTTAAAATAATGATTTTTGCACAACTTTGACAAAAAAATTGGATTAACATTTTTTATTCAAAATATGTTGCCTTAATAAAATTGAAGACAAAAAAACTTAAAAAATAGAAGCGTTATTAAAAACTTAGTGTCTTGAAAAATACCTATAAAAGGTCAAAATAATCCAATAACAACAAAGGCATGAATTGTGCACAATTTCACTAAAAAATGTAAGACTAAAACTTCTTTTTGAAATTACTTGGTTTTTATAAATTTACAATAAAAATTTAAATACTAGTATTTTATTATAAAAAATCTGTTGGTTTAAAAATAAGTGATATAATTACAAATTAATCTAATAACGTTAAAAGAATGATTTTTGCACAATTTTGACAAAAAAAATTGCATTAACTTTTTCATTTAAAATATGTTGCCTTAATAAAATTGAAGACAAAAAAACTTAAAAAATATAATTTTTTATTAAAAAACTTAGTGTCTTGAAAAATACCTATTACTGATCAAAATAATCTAATAACAATAAAATATTAAATTGTGCACAATTTCACTAAAAAAATAAGTCTAGAATTTTTTAGTAAAAAGATTGCTTGGTTTTTATAAATTTAAAATAAAAATGATGGAAAAGTTTATAAACTACCATTTTATTATGAAACTTCTGCTGTTTTAAAAATAAGTGACATTATGTGAATTTCTTGTAGTCACTTGTGGAAAACTATTATTAAGTATGTCATCTTTTTAAAATGTGAACAAAAGCTTGCAAAGATCTTAATGAGAGTGAAGTCAACCGAGAAATAGAAAGCAGTTATGGTCTAAAACTTCTTTTTGTTGTGGAAAATGTGTTCAAATGCATAAACTATAGTATTTTGATAAAAGTTTTGAAATAGGCTAAAATTCATTTTCAGGGAGGGTCGAATTCCTATTTTTGTAAAAGTCCTTTTTGTTGTGGAAAATGTCTTCAATTGCACAAAGTATAGTCGTTTGATGAAAATTTTTAGAATTGATAAAATTTATTTTCAGGGGCTGAAATTCATATTTTTGTAGATCTTTTTTTGTGGAAAATGTCTTCAAATTCAAAAATTATATAGTCTTTTGATAAAAATTTTGAAATATGATAAAATTCGTTTTCAGGGGGTTGGAATCCTATTTTTGTAAAAGTTCTTTTTGTTTTGGAAAAAGTCTACAAATGAATAAAATTATAGTCTTTTGATGAAAATTTAGAAATATGATAAAATTCATTTTCAGGGGGGGTGGAATTCCTACTTTAGTTAAAGTTCTTTTTGTTGTGGAAAGTGTGTTCAAATGCATAAATTATAGTCTTTTGATAAAAATTTTGAAATATGATAAAATTCATTTTTTGGGGGATGGAATTCCTATTTTTGTAAAAGTTCTTTTTATTGTGGAAAAAGTCTACAAATGAATAAAATTATAGTCTTTTTATGAAAATTTTGAAATATGATAAAATTCATTTTTAGGGGTGGCTTGGAACTCCTATTTTTGTAAAAGTTCTTTTTGTTGTGGAAAAAGTCTACAAATGAATAAAATTATAGTCTTTTTATGAAAATTTTGAAATATGATAAAATTCATTCTCAGGGGGTGTGTGATTCCTATTTTTGTAAAATTTTTTTTGATGTGGAAAATGTGTTTAAATGCATAAATTATAGCGTTTTAATGAAAGTTTTGAAAATTAATAAAGTTCATTTTCAGGAGGGGGCTGAAATTCCTATTTTTGTAGACCTTTTTTTGTGGAAAATCTCTTCAAACTCAAAAATTATAGTCCTTAGATGAAAATTTTGAAATATGATAAAATTCATTTTCAGGGGGGGAATCCCTATTTTTGTAAAAGTTCTTTTTGTTGTGGAAAATGTGTTCAAATGTATGAATTATAGTCTTGATGAAACTATGATAAAATTTATTTTCAGGGGGGGGGGTTTGGACTCAACTTTTTTGTAAAAAATCTTTTTGATGTGGAAAATGTGTTCAAATGCATTAATTATAGTATGATGAAAATATGGAAATATGATAAAACTCATTTTCAGGGGGGTAGAATCCTTATTATTGTAAAAGTTCTTTTTGATAAGGAAAATGTCTTCAAATGCATGAATTACAATTCATGAAAATATGAAAATATGAAAATTTCATTTTTAGGAGAGGGGGTGGACTCAATTTTTTTTAAAAGTTCTTTTTGTGTGGAAAATTTGTTAAAATGCATGAATTATAGTCTTTTGATGAAAATATAAAAATATGATAAAATTCACTTTCAGGGGGGTGGAATCCCTATTTTTGTAAAAGTTCTTTTTGTTTTGGAAAATGTGTTCAAATGCATTAATTATAGTCTTTTGATAAAAATATGGAAATATGATAAAATTCACTTTGAGGGGGATGGAATCCCTATTTTTGTAAAAGTTCTTTTTGTTTTGGAAAATATATGAATTATAGTCTTTTGATGAGAATATAAAAATATGTTAAAATTCATTTTCAGGTGGGGTGTGGACTCGATTTCCTTGTAAAAAATCTTTTTGATGTGGAAAATATATTAAAATGCATGAATTATAGTCTTTTGATGAAAATATAATAAAATTCATTTTCAGGGGGGATGGACTCGAATTTTTTTTGTAAAAGTTCTTTTTGATGTGGAAATTGTGTTCAAATGCATTAATTATAGTCATTTGATAAAAATATGGAAATATGATAAAATTCACTTTCATGGACTCGATTTTTTTGTAAAAGTTCTCTTTGATGTGGAAAATGTGTTCGAATGTATATATTTAAGTCTTCTGATGAAAATATAAAACTATGATAAAATTCATTTTCAGGGGGTGTGTGGACTCGATTTCCTTGTAAAAATCTTTTTGATGTGGAAAATGTGTTAAATAATCAATTATAGTCTTTTGATGAAAATATGAAAATATAATAAAACTCATTTCTAGGTGGGGGACTCGATTTTTGTTTAAACAATCTTTTTGATGTGGAAAATATGTTAAAATGCATGAATTATAGTCTTGATGAAAACATAAAAATATGTTAAAATTCATTTTGAGGGGGGTGGTTCCCCATTTTTGTAAAAGTTCTTTTATTGTCGAAAATGAGTTCAATTATATGAATTATAGACTAATTGTAGTCTTTTCATGAAAATATGAAAATATGAAAATTTCATTTCCAGAGGAGGTGGACACGATTTTTTTGTAAAAAATCTTTTTGATGTGCAAAATGTTTTAATTACATGACTTATAGTCTTTTGATGACAATTATGAAACTTTGAAAAAATTCATTTTCAGCAGTGGTGGACTCGTTTTTTTGTAAAAGTTTTAAAACTAGCATTTTATTATAAAAACTGTGTTGTTTTTAAAATGAGTGATATTATTACAAAATAATCTAATAACGTTAAAATAATGATTTTTGAAGAAATTTAACAAAAAAAATTGATTAACATATTTTATTTAGAATTAATTGCCTTAATAAAATTGAAGACATAAACTTAAAAAATTAAGGCTTTCATTAAAAAACTTAGTGTCTTAAAAAAAACCTATAAAAGTTCACAATAAAAGTATTCAAATAATCATTGTTTTAGCGTTAGATTATTTTGTAATAATATAGTTATTTTCAAAACAATATATTTTTTATAATATAATGCTGATTTAAAACTTTTTCATCCTTTTTATTGAAAATTTTATAAATCATCAGAGCAATTTGAGAAAAAAATTTTAGTCTTATATTTTTCGTAAAATTGTGCACAACTCATGATTTAATTGTTATTAGAATATTATGAACTTTTATAGGTATTTTTTTAATAAAAGGCTCAATTTATTAAGTTTATGTCTTCAATTATATTAAGGCAATTAATTCTAAATAAAATATGTTAATCAAATTTTTTTTGTTAAAGTTCTTCAAAAATCATTATTTTAACACGTTATTAGATTATTCTGTAATAATATCACTTATTTTAAAAACAACACAGTTTTTATAATAAAATGTTAGTTTTAAAACTTTCATATTTTTGTCAAAAGACTATAATTCATGCATTTGAACACATTTTCCACATCAAAAAGAACCTTCACAAAAAAATCGAGTCCATCCCCCTCTTGAAAATGAATTTTATCATATTTTCATATTTTCACTAAAAGACTATATCTCATGAATTTTTACAAATTTTCCATATCAAAGATTTTTTACAAGAAAATCGAGTCCACACCTCGCGGAAAATGAATTTTAACATATTTTTATATTTTCATCAAAAGACTATAATTCATACATCTGAACACATTTTCCAAAAAAAAAGAACTTTTACAAAAATAGGGATTCCACCCCCACTTAAAATGAATTTTAACCTATTTTATATTTTGATCAAAAGACTATAACTCATACATTTAAACACGTTATCCACAACAAAAAGTACTTTTACAAAAGTAGGGATTCCACCCCAATAAAAATTAATTTTGTCATATTTCCATATTTTCGTCAAAAGACTGTAATTAATGCATTTGAACACATTTTCTTCATCAAAAAGAACTTTTAAAAAAAAATATAGGCCACACCACCTTGAATATGAATTTTATAATATTTTCATATTTTCATATTTTCATGTTTTTAATGAACTGAACCAGCAGCTGGTGGAAATGTCGAAGAAAATCTTGATAAACCTTTGAATAAATGGCTGGTCATGGTTAGAAGAGGTAGTCTATTGAATGGGTATGACTGGTAATTGCTAGAGATAAACCATTGAATAAATGGCTGGTTATGGTTAGAAGAGGTGGTCTATTGTTGGAGCATGATTTTCTAGTAGTTAACAACAAACCTTTGGGGTCAAAGCATTGTATTTATCAGGCCTGTTCATTGTGATTGTCCTCAAACCGCCATCAGTAGAGACAAGAATATTTTCAAACTCATTTGATGTATTAATGTCTTTGTTGGGTTGGCTGTTGGTCTTGGATTCTTGTCCTGAAGTTACATTTAAGAAATATTGAATAAATTTGCAATAACTGTTTTGGACTAAACAGCCCAAAAGTGTAAGAGATTGAGTTCAAAGATGTTTCATCTCCTTAATGAATGACTAAGGTGTTTCACTTGCATGTCAAACCTTTTCAACAATATTTAACTTTAATAACTGTAGTCATATAAAGGGAATATGGTGATCGAGTAAGAGAGATTGAATATGCTGCTTTTACACCACTGGTTTTTTCAACATCAGGTGGTATGGGGAAAGAGACGGCAATTGCTTATAAGCGGCTAGCTGATCTGCTGGCAGAAAAGAGAAAGCTGCAATATGGCATCAGGCTAGCGTGGATGCGTTGTAAACTGTCTTTCGCACTGATTAGGTCAGCAATTACTGCGATACGAGGAAGTCGATCTGCCTCAACTCGCGAACATACTTTAAATATTGACCTAGGTTATTGGGAAAGTTGTCTTACACTTGACTGTCCCTTTATCATGGATATTTTAAACATTGATGTTAGTTATCTTTGATTTAGTTTTTAACATTTATATTTGTATGTTGTAGTTTATAATTTTAATTAAATTTTAATTTTTTCTTTTTTTTAATCAAAATCGTGATTAAAGTTAACTAAGACAGGTTTAAAAAAAACAAAAAAAAACTGTAGACATATAACAAACTTACTCCTGTAATGTTAAAAACATTGTTAGTCAAAAAATCTGTTCTATAGTTCAATGTTGAGAAGGACATGTACACAACAGGGAAATGATGTTTATACAGAATATTTTGCAGAAAAGCTTTGTGTTTATAATACACAGCAAAATTCAAAATCACCTAGTAAAGATTCCACAAGTGCTATATACTGTTTTTGTGCATCTACCTAAAGGAAAAGTTCAATTTAAAAGTATTCATTACATGCAATAGAAGTTTTTTTCAAAAGTACATAGGTATTTGATAGAGAATCAATGGTAAATTTGCATTTTTTTCCTGCATCACCAATACTAAGAATGTTAAGTACAAGATTTTACTCTCCTAAATGTTAAGGAATTCTTCGTAAATACAAATAGGGGATATAATTCAGAATGCATGGCTTGGAGAGAAACTATGTATATTAAAACCATTGAAAAGCACAGATTTACATGCAGATATTTTAGCTGTATGTTCCGGTAGGTACTCATAATTACCAGAAGACCCACACACTCAGTTCTTAATTAACGGTGTGCTGTCAACTTTGCACAAAACAACTTTTTTACTGTAAATAATTTGATGACGATAGATTTTAGTAAGACTTGTGAGAGTGTTCAATAAAATTGTTGAAAGATACAGTCCTTTGGTGATGTTTGAAACTAGATACATATTGAATGTTCATTATAACATAAGTGCAGCCTTTCTTAAACTAAATATTCACCTGTGATAAATCACCCAAATCGTTCCATGCATTCCATTTTGCCTTTCCAACAAAGTCCAAAGTCCCAGGCTTTGGTGTATTACATTGCCTAAAGAACCCTGGAAATGTATATTGTTATTTGGGTTCGTCTTATTTTAACTTTGATTGTATTATATGGTGGGAGTGTGAACAGTTATAATTGAAAAATTCACTGTGCCTTTGCAAAATGTGATTCAAATGCAATGATGCACATTGTGCTTAAAAATTTAAAGTCACCATTTAATTGAAGAGCTTGTAGTTAGGAGATACAACAACTAATGTTCAAGCTTTATGTAAAAACCGGATACAATATCTTTATGAATCGTAAAATACCTGCTTAAAAAGGGCGTACATCTTTAACTTCAATTCATTCCCTGGATCTTGAGTTAAAGATCCTACTTTGTCTTTTGCTTCTTTAAACTGGTGAGAGATTGCAGAGAACTTCAAACCATCTTCGTAAAAATGTTTAGGTTTAAATAAGGTCGAGATAGATAGTTCACTATACCACGACGAAAAATTGCATATGATTTACAAACTCTTGGCGTCACGTTCATTTGCTATAATAAAATTTACAATAAATATTTTTTTATTATTGATTGAACGTTGGACGAATGAGAAAATTGATATCTAGAAATGACATGAATGAAAGGCAAAAGTAAATCAAACATGTGACTATTTTTGACCAATGACATTAGGATGTTGATAGTGGTTACAATGGATGATAGTGAATAATTATGGACATGCTTTCAAAAAGGCGTATTCTGAACAAGTGGTATGTTAACTATATCGTGTATATTATCCGACTGGTGCAGCTTAAGAAGAAATTTCAGGGCTTCCATTTACTACATTTTTCAAAGTTCATGTATGAGGACAATATTTCTTCGCGTATTCATATTTTTTAGGAGTTTGCAACATCAAAAGTTCGAAGCAAGGCAATCGATCAACAGGGCTCAGTCACTCAGTACTATGCTTAGTACTTTTTTAAATATCTATCGGGAAGTCTGGCTGGGAGAATGGTACTTAGACTAATTCTAGGCTAACTTTGTCAATCCAAGAACACGTGCAGTACTGGTTTTTATATATCGGGGTATTAATTTTTGGGTACACTTGCAAAATTTATCAATTCAGGAAGAAATTCAGACGCTCAAATGACTTCTTTTACAATAACGTGGAGAGGAAAGGAAACACACAAAAAGATGATGCGGTAGGAATTTTTAAAGTGTTCTTTTTATTGTTTCTGGTTGCACAATTTCATATTAATTTATTTTTATTACCACAGTTATATTAACAAAAGTATGTGTACAAATTTATTTATGCCCACAATGTGGTGTAAGGAAAAACACTTATTCGGAGCACATTTTCCAATTTCAAGTCTGGATTCTCTACATCCTTTAATCACAATGTCATATATGTTAATAGAATAGCAGTGTGTCATATGAATCTCAATTTTTTGAACAAGAAAATGAATTTGGGGATTTGGTAAGTTTACATATATTGTAAAACTATGTAGATATAAAAATACGCTATGTTTATGGGTTTTTTTTCATTTATATGTAGAATGAACAAAGTGAAGATATTGCTGAAAATTATGACAAGCACCAAGAGTTAACCACCAAAACACAGGTTTTTAATGTACATATTGATATTGTTTCTCATGAAAAGTCATTGGAAGTGGTTATATGTAAGACTGCTTTCACTAGAAATAACTAAAAAATTTGAAGTAATTTAAAGAAGGCATGCATTATTTCAACATTTATTAAAAGTCTGTACACATTTTAAATTAAATAATGGTCTTTATTTGTAGGACTCTTGTTGAGTTCGTGTTACTCGCCATATCTCAATTTCGTATTATACTTTTCTCTTACAGTAACAACAACGAGTAAACTTAGTGAATGAACTGATTTTTATTATTTTACAAGGCAGTATTTATAATATTCTCTACAATTAGCAAATAATATTATTGGTCAAAATAATTCATCTAATCTAACTATATAAGGTATATAAGGAAATTCTACTAACGTCACTAACTGTTCCTCGGGTGTTAACCGCATGGGAACGGATACAATGGTTGACCAAACTACGTATTTACTGCTTCCCTTTACGTAACTCTGCGGTTTATGAGCATGACTCAACACCCCCACTTGCTCATTAACTAAATTACAAATTAATATCTATTTACCAGTTATAAATGTTTTGAATCTACTTAATTTAATCTTACTTACAGCTTTCGTAAATATATCAGCCACATTTTCATGTGTCGCTACATATACAATCTCTACATTACCAGCCCTTATTTCAGTCCTTATGAAGTGATATTTAATATCTATGTGTTTTGATCTTTTGTGGTACATTGGGTTCTTAGCTAAGTTAATTGCACCCTGATTGTCAACATTCAACACTACACGTTCACCACTCTTACAAATACGCAAATCAACACACAATTGTTTCAGAAATTTTGCTTCCTGAATAGCCTCCGTCAATGCCATATACTCAGCCTCACAAGTTGACAAAGCAACTGTGGACTGCTTTTTACTCCTCCAAGAAACCGAACCACTGTTCTCACTCAATCTGAAACCGTAACCTGAAATACTACGCCTGTCATCTACATCGCCAGCCCAATCAGAATCAGAAAAACCAACCAATTTTAAAGCATTTTCACATTTTCTAAAAGTAATTGTTTGATCGCTCGTATTCTGTAAGTATCTAAGGACATGCTTTGCTTCCACTAAGTTCGCTTCCGTCGGTTTTGACATCTTTTGAGATAGCTTTGTTACGATAAAACACAAATCAGGTCTAGTACCTGTCATAACATAAATAAGGCTACCGACAATTTGTTTGTAAAGACTCGGATCTTCTAACTCAGGCGATTGATCTTGCAACATTTTATTTGTATCGGAAGATGATGGGGTAGGTTTGGGTTTACACTCCGACATGCCAAATTTTGTTAGTAACTTAATAATATATTGCCGCTGGCTCATTGTAATTTCATTTTCAGAACATTTGAATTCAGTTCCTAAGAACCATGACAATACTCCTAAATCTTTCATTCTGAAGCGTTCACATAAAATTCTCTTAACACTCTGCATTATTGTTTCATTGTTCGCAACAATGATAAGGTCGTCTACCCATACAATTATAATGGTAACATCCTTTCTGTCGAATCTCGTGTAGACACATGGGTCGACTAATGATTGTTTAAAATTTTTCCCGATTAAGTGTTCATGCAATACGTTATTCCAATTTCTACCACTTTGTTTCAGTCCATACAAAGACTTCTTCAATCTGTACACTAACTTTCTACCGTTTTTGTCTACTTGCTCATACCCTTCGGGTTGATGCATATAAATCTCGCAATCTATTGGGGCGTTTAGATAAGCTGTTTTTACATCCATTTGATGCAACAACATGTTATTTTGAACAGCGTGTTGAAGCAATACGCGAATTGAACTCATGCGGGCAGTTGGTGAAAAAGTTTCGTTATAATCAATACCGGGTGTCTGCGAGTAACCCTTCGCTACATAACGGGCTTTATGGGTTTCTTCCTCATTTTGCCCTATTTTTACTGTGTATACCCATTTCCCCCCAACTATGTCCCTGTCTGTTGGGGGTGGGACAAGTTCAAATGTATCGTTCTCGACTAACGCTTCCATTTCGTCACTCATGGCTTTTGCCATTTTACCTTTCGTCAGAGCTTATTGCTTGGGAATATGTCGTTGGGATATTGGATACTCTATAACAATAATCAACGGTATATGAGACTGTATCCTCCCCTAAAATCTCCCCGGTAACATACTCATTAAGGTATTTGGGTTTACTTCTTGTCCTAGTGGGGTATCTAGATTCTCCAGCTGTCTCTGGAGTACTAATGTCTCCTTGGGCTGTTTGGGGATTTCTTTCATGCAGTTTTGTTATTTGGGGTGTAAGTTCTTCGTCATCTAATTCTGGCATTTCCCTGCTACCCTCCCTGAAGAACTTAACACATCTTACACGTTCTACCTTATTAATCTCAGGATAATATACTAGATACGCTGGACTATTTTTATCATACCCTACAAAGATACCTTGTTTACTTCTAGGGTCTAGCTTTCTAGAGTTCTGTGAATATCCATAGCAAACACAACCAAAACGTGCATTTTACTTAAGTCTGGTTTTGAGCCAGTAAACGCTTCAAACGGAGTTTTGTTTAATCTCGAATTAAAACAGCGATTCCTAATATAAGCAGAGGCCATGACAGCATATGTCCACATGGATTTTGGTAGCTGCGCTTCTAGTAAAAGACACCTAGCCATGTTAAATAAAGTTAGCCACGATCTCTCAACCGTGCCGTTCTGGTGTGGCGAATAAGGTGCACTGGTTTCGTGCCTAATTTTGTTTTCTCTAAGAATCGACTCGAATTTCTCGCTTGTAAATTCAGTACCGTTATCGCTTCTTATGCGCTTCACATTTCCGTATGGCGCAACGTCTGCTAAAAACTGTTTTAATGCTTGAGGTGTGTCACTTTTATGTTTAAGGAAATAAACCATATTCAATCCTGAATAATCATCAACAAACGACAGCGCATACCTAAACCCTTCTCTTCCTTCCGGGTCTATAGGACCTGCAAGATCTGTGTGAACAAACTCAAGAGGACCTCCCGCCTTCTTATCTTCCTGCTTACTTTTTGTTTGACACATTTTACCTTGCGTACAAACCTCACACTCAACTTCCCTCAAGTCTGTGATTTTCATCCCCTTAACCACCTTCTCTAGTTTCCTAACATCCTTGTAGTTGCAGTGACCTAGAACCTTGTGCCACTCATAAAGAGAACATGCAGTTTTATTTGATGAGGATATGCTATTTAAATAGTACAGTTTGCCTTTTTGTCTTATTCTAAATGTTGTGCCATCAGGGCACTGTACATGCTTATCGTGCTTCTCTAGTTTGACTTTAGCCCCCTTTTCTACGGCAGCATTTACTGAGAAGATATTTTGGTCGTAAGATGGGACATATAAAGCATTACTTAATAATACATCCTGCGTATTCCCATGCAAGTCAACTAATTTGACTTCCGCAGTACCCTTACCGACTACTACGTTGGCTTTACTGCCATCTGCTAATTCAATTACATGCGCCTTACTATTAAAGTTACTATCAAAGTCTATAAATTTTGACTTATCGTTGATGATGTGGCTCGTAGCTCCTGTGTCCACCAGTAGAGTAAAGTTGGCCTGATCCGTATCCTTTATGTCTGCTTCAGCGGTCTCTTCTTCGTCCTTTGACACGAATACAAAGGAGTGTTGCTGTGCACCGTCACTACGCTGTTCGTCTTTCGCTGATTTTGACGTTTCTTTAGTCTTTCGGCAGTCTTTCGTGTCGTGGGTCTTGGTCTTGCATATAGAGCACCACTTGTTTCCCTTCACTCGACATTGTGCACTTTTATGTCCCTTTCGCCCACATTTGAAGCAATTTCCTTCAAATTTTGGTTTCAAAAACATAACATTGTCTCCTCCCTCAGTTTTCGGCGACAATGATTTTAAATTTTCCTCTTGACTTCGTAATGAGTTCTTAAATTCTGCAAATGTCATTTCTCCCTCTCTTTGAACTGTTACGGTTGTGAAAACGTCGTACACGCTTGGTAAACCTTTCAAAACCATCGTGATGAGTAGCGCATCACTAATTAGCTCCTCAGCTTCTCTTAGGGCTGTTGCCGATCGTTCCGCTCGCAATATATAATCTGTGACAGTCTCGTCGTCACTTTTCTTCAGCAAGGTGAGTTCTGTGTAAAGAGAGATGATGCGCGGTTTTCCTTTGCCTTGATAATGACGTCGGAGGATTTCTAACGCTCGCTGTCCGTTATCTTTCGACTCCCGAATCACAAGGGACAAACTTCTATCGTCCAGGCATTGGACCAATTCTGCAAAAGCGTCAGCCAGTTTTGAAGCTGCTGGTTCTTCTCTCTCATCTCCAGATTCAATAAATACGTCGTACAACTTTTGGAGACGCATATAGCCCAAGAATTTAACTTCCCATAACTCGTATTTGCTTTCGCTTCCATCGAAAAGCAAACCTCTCTTGGGCCCATAACCTGTTGAGTTCGTGTTACTCGCCATATCTCAATTTCGTATTATACTTTTCTCTTACAGTAACAACAACGAGTAAACTTAGTGAATGAACTGATTTTTATTATTTTACAAGGCAGTATTTATAATATTCTCTTCAATTAGCAAATAATATTATTGGTCAAAATAATTCATCTAATCTAACTATATAAGGTATATAAGGAAATTCTACTAACGTCACTAACTGTTCCTCGGGTGTTAACCGCATGGGAACGGATACAATGGTTGACCAAACTACGTATTTACTGCTTCCCTTTACGTAACTCTGCGGTTTATGAGCATGACTCAACAACTCTGAAGATATCTTTACCAAGAAATCTATCTCTATTATTACAGAGGAACCCAAACAACCATGTCAACATAGTCAAGTAGTTCTCACATATACAGTTATACTTTATACTGTTTACCACTAGTCATGTTTTTAATGTGTTATAAATTGACAATATGCTTGTTGATTGCTTATGCATGAAACACTGTGTAGCAAAACTTTATTAACATCTGGTAGAAATGTGCTCAACAAACATAAAAATATATTACAATAGATATTTTGAAACAGTGAACATTAATAATTACTGTGTACTTGCTCTTTCAGAGTCATTTGTCACCCACTGGCCACTATACTGGGCTATTGTTACAGTTTGACTTTGCATCAAATGTATCATGTCAGCAATCCTTTGTTGTTCATGATTATAATGCAAACAAAAGAACAATTATGGTGATGTCAAATTTTATTTCCATAATTTCAATGTTGGGTATATACCCAACTAAATGATATTACTCAATACGCTTTTTTTGGTGCTATAATCTGCATGTATTTTTTTCTTCAGCATAATTCATTTGTATTTGTACATCGATATCCCCACCTATTGCTTGATGGCTATGGTTGGATATTGTGCTGCTCATGTGATGCAAATAGAAAGCAATTTGTTGATGCCCTACCTAATAATATACAATTAGATCCTCAAAAAGGTATGTAAAATAGATGTTACTGCAATGAAATGATTAAAACAGGCCAAACAACATTTTTGTACTTGTCAGATATACCATATCCGAGTTGCATACACATATTAGCAATGGAAAAATATCTGGTTGTGTATGATAGAAAGTTTGGTATTGAAGCCAAAGATTTTATTGAAAAAAGTAAGTGTTGTGTGTTACTCTTTCAGGATATAAGGTGTCTGAACAGCTTCACCAAATTTTGACTTACACTTACATACTATTTGTTTCAAGACCCTTGTCAAAGATGTGAGAACTTGTTACATATTAATCTGACATTGCATGTAGTGAATGTCTCAAATTTGTATTTGGCTTATTTTTTCAATGTAAAGTTCTTCATGTGGTATGGGAGAAAATGTCTTCATCCTTAAATATCAGTTTATTGTACATTTCAAACCCTTGTGAAGTCATCCTTCTGTGTTTTTACAAGACCCTTGTTCGACATTGTTCTTATTACATGTGGATGTTAACCAGCACAGCTTTACAAGCAAAAATATTGTTAAAACTTGTGAATGATTATTTACACAATATATTTATCTCATCGAATTTCTTTTAAGAATGCAGAATCCACATCCATGATGCAGTCTGTTTTCAGTGATCATTCCTACCATGAGATGCAACCTGAAGAAGTATATTTTGTTATGTGAAAATAACTTTTTTGTACAAATACACGTATTGTTTCTCAACCTTCTAATACCCCACAATTTGTTACCATACATCCTGTGCCTAAGTTCAGGAGCTTCTATAAAGCTATTAGGGTGATAACCAACAGGTCAAATTGAATTTAATTATGACTATTGAGGTATAAACATTCATACTCACATACATACATAGCCACATACTTACAGTACATACATTAAGTAGTATAAACTAAATGTATGACAAAAATAGTAAAGTCATATTCACCATTTGCTTTACGTGCCTGATATATATATATTAAGCACTTTCTAAGGATTTTGTGAAGTCATAATTAATCATAATTATTAATCTGCATACACATACACACACATACATACACACACATACATACACACACATAATACAACCTTAAGATAAATGATTTTACATATTTTAGGACTTGTTTAGTGCAGTGTGCAGGGAGGTTTAGTGGATTGCTGTAAATGATGATCGTCCAGGTTAATAAAGTCCTGATAATGGTAAATATAATGGTAAATATTAAAGTCCTGAGAAGGACTGTTTTTGTTATGATCGTCCAGGTTAACGAAGAATAATGTTTACGAAACGTCACAATAAATTTAAATTTTAAAATTTGCTTTTTTAGGTCTATTTCTATGGCTCTAATCAGAACTTTATGTTGGGCATTAATTTTTATCACACGTAGTCTATTGAATGGGTATGACTGGTAATTGTTAGAGATAAACCATTGAATAAATGGCTGGTTATGGTTAGAAGAGGTGGTGATTTTCTAGTATAGCCCTTGATAAAGGGTTGGATGGTCGTAATTATTAATGTCATGGTTGTTCCTAAACATGTTTAATAACTATATTGTTTAATGACTGTATTGTTTAATGACTATATTGTTCAATGAATGTATTGTTTAATGACTGTATTGTTTCATGACTGTATTGTTTAATGACTGTATTGTTCAATAACTGTGTTGTTTAACGACTGTATTGTTTCATGACTGTATTGTTTAATGACTGTATTGTTTAATGACTGTATTGTTCAATGACTGTATTGTTTAATGACTGTATTGTTCAATGACTGTATTGTTTAATGTTTAATTACTGATAATATAGCCCTTGATAAAGCGTTGGATGGTCGAAATTATTAATGTCATGGTTGTTCCAGACCAATTGGAATGAGTATGATCAATGAATTCTCGACTTGTTATTTGCTAATAACTCAAATATATTTATTTTCAAATTTCTTAGCTTAATAAATGTTATCTTTGTAGAAACTATTATGACAAAGTACATAATCCCTTTTTTCCGTGAAGCCCATGGATGCGTTCGTTCATAATGAAACAGTCATATTGTATAAGGAGGCTCTCGTTCATCACGAGAGATTTATGAGAAAAATACGTTGTAAAAGGTAATAAGTAAAAAACGTATAAACATGCTTAGTGTTTGTTTAAGTTATAGTTCAAAAAGGCAGAAGTTGTTTGAACCTTTGAAGTATCCTTGGACGTTCTAATTTTTTTTATGAGAAGAATTCTTGTAAAGAAAAAGACAAATTTTGAAAACCAGAAAATCCCGTTTTCGGTCCATGCCTCCCGATACCCATAGATAGTTGATCACTAGAGAGTCGCATGTTAACTAAGGGAACCACATAATCCTTGTTTGTTTTCCATGAAACATATGGATGGTTTGCTCGTGATACATGAGAAACAGTAAATGGGAGAGTTGAATCAGAAAGATATAAACCGATAAAATTGATATAAAACTTGTTTAAGGTTGTCTTTATTTATAAGTGTCAGACAGGGTCATAAGAAGTTAATTGAAACATTGCTTGGTTTGTTTTATGAGAAGAAAACAAAAAGATAAAATTCGAAAGCAAAAAACCCCGTTTTCGGTCCATGCTTCCCGATACCTTCTTAAGAGCAAGGCACTAGAACGCCGAATGTTAACGTTTCGGTAGGAGATTTCGGCCCCTCCACGCTATCCTACTTTGGAGATGCCAATAGCAAGCTTCCGCCCATCAGACCCTGAGATCACCTGCAATAGGCTTTGCTCAGGGTACGCAGGGAGAGTGCGGTCGCCACCGAAGTGAGGGCCCCTAAGCCACTGCATACTATATCGCACCCAGCTTCCACTGCTAGTTGACATCTACTATATGAAGTTTTAGCTTAATATATATATATACGAAAATTTAAAGGCGTACGAAAGTTATGGGATGATTGTTATCGTCACTGCGCATGCCCAGATGATTTCTTTGATAATTTGCGACTAAGTGAGTTAATTGACACAAATGTAGTGCAAGTACATATAGTTGGTCGTTGTCATGACTATGAACAATTACTCGAGTGGAGTGCGCATGCTCGAGCGCATGCGCAGACGATTTCTCTATTAAATTGTTACTAAGCATGCTATTTACTTCAAAATTGGTGCTAGTAGATGCAGTTGGTCGTTGCCATAACCATGAATTGGGTAGCTGGTCAAGTTGACTGCGCATGCGCAGATGATTTTTCTTAAAACGTGTGACTGCGCGAGCTAATTACTCCAAAATCGGTACTAGTACATCCAGTTCGTCGTTACCATGAGCTCGGAGAGTTTGTGGAGTTGACAACGAATGCTCAGGTTCTCAATTAATTTGTGACAGAGCGAGCTCTGAAGTTGGTGCTTGTAGATGCGCTGAGCAAGTTTTCCATCATATATTTTTGGCATGCTCTTTGTCTAGTCAAGCTTGTTTTGTTAAATGCATGTGAAACTCGTCAACACTTTGTTACGGCACTCGTAATATCCGTGACAACGTTAAAAATGTTTTTTATTTTTCTCTACAACTTTACATCTGCATATTCATGTCATATCCAAGCTTTCCTTTGATTTGACGGGAAATGGTTTTATTCACTCTTACATCTTCTGCCTTTATAATTAGTCGATCTGTATTTCTAAACTAATATTTACAAATGCCCCAAGAGAATCTTTTTATTTTATTGGCTTCTTCTACAAATACAATACCATGTCCGACTATTTGATTGCACGAATTTTGTAATTTGATCACGTTTTTGACACGTGTGTTTACCATGGGAAAGATGGATTGCTTAAATGTACGTAGTTGTTTAGACTAGTTGGATCCATAGTTATCCTGTAATATACTCTTGTGAAACACCAATGAGCATACGTAGTGTGTCTTCTATAACCTCTATTCTTGTTCTCCACTTCATCATCTATCCATATTTGTTCTTTTTTAGTTCTCAGCTCAACACAACCCTTGTCTAAAGTTCCTAAAACCTTGATCTACCCAAGAAAGATCTCTGGTGGTAACATGTTAGGTATGGCTAGTGGTTGGTCATCGTCATTGAGCCTTGTGACACCAGTTCAGTATACGTTAATTGTCCTGAAGACGTTGAGGAGGTTGCTAGTAAAGCGTCGCCTAAACCAGAAGTTAGTTTTCATGGTATGCTAACGGATTACGCAAACGTTGTTAGGAATAAGTTCACATCAAATGGTTATGGTTTCGTTCCATCGTATTCTGAGAAGGTTTCATGTTCATCCTGTATCTTTCACCAATATTACAAATACTTAGTTTTTTTATGCTTTTTGAAATTGTCGTTTTTATGACTATTATTTTAGAGCATACACATTGAAGAATCTTATGGTAGTACAGGTATTTTCAACATTTTTTTTTTGAAAAATTCTCTAGTTTCAATTCTTCGAAATTTCTTATCTTAATTTTCACCTTTACTTTAGAATCCTTTCGATACGAGAAATCGTCGGAATTTGAGGTACTTTATACGATATATTGAATTTAAGTTTTATAGCGTTAATAACTCTCATCTGTCCATGGTAACTTTGCTATAATTCTATGGATAAATTATGTTTTTATATATAACAGATTATTGATGATCCTACTTCACCTGAAGGTGTTCAGCAAGAACGACGTATGAAGTTACTATCGTTAATTAACAATATAGCCCTTGATAAAGGGTTGGATGGTCGAAATTATTAATGTCATGGTTGTTCCAGACCAATTGGAATGAGTATGATCAATGAATTCTCGACTTGTTATTTGCTAATAACTCGAATATATTTATTTTCAAATTTCTTAGCTTAATAAATGTTATCTTTGTAGAAACTATTATGACAAAGTACATAATCCCTTTTTTCCGTGAAGCCCATGGATGCGTTCGTTCATGATGAAACATTCATATTGTATAAGGAGGCTCTCGTTCATCACGAGAGATTTATGAGAAAAATACGTTGTAAAAGGTAATAAGTAAATAACGTAGAAACATGCTTAGTGTTTGTTTAAGTTATAGTTCAAAAAGGCAGAAGTTGTTTGAACCTTTGAAGTATCCTTGGACGTGCTAGTTTTTTTTATGAGAAGAATTCTTGTAAAGAAAAGGACAAATTTTGAAAACCAAAAAATCCCGTTTTCGGTCCATGCCTCCCGATACCCATAGATAGTTGATCACTAGAGAGTCGCAGGTTAACTAAGGGAACCACATAATCCTTGTTTGTTTTCCATGAAACATATGGATGGTTTACTCGTGATACATGAGAAACAGTAAATGGGAGAGTTAAATCAGAAAGATATAAACCGATAAAATTGATATAAATCTTGTTTAAGGTTGTCTTTATTTATAAGTGTCAGACAGGGTCATAAGAAGTTAATTGAAACATTGCTTGGTTTGTTTTATGAGAAGAAAACAAAAAGATAAAATTCGAAAGCAAAAAACCCCGTTTTCGGTCCATGCTTCCGGATACCTTCTTAAGCGCAAGGCACTTGAACGCGGCATGTTAACGTTTCGGTAGGAGATTTCGCCCCTCCACGCTATCCTACTTGGGAGATGCCAATAGCAAGCTTCCGCCCATCAGACCCTGAGATCACCTGCGATAGGCTTTGCTCAGGGTACGCAGGGAGAGTGCGGTCGCCACCGAAGTGAGGGCCCCTAAGCCACTGCATACTATATCGCACCCAGCTTCCACTGCTAGTTGACATCTACTATATGAAGTTTCAGCTTTATATATATATATACCAAAATTTAAAGGCGTACGAAAGTTGTGGGATGATTGTTATCGTTACTGCGCATGCCCAGATGATTTCTTTGATAATTTGCGACTAAGTGAGTTAATTGACACAAATGTAGTGCAAGTACATATAGTTGGTCTTTGTCATGACTATGAACAATTACTCGAGTGGACTGCGCATGCTTGAGCGCATGCGCAGACGATTTCTCTACTAAATTATTACTAAGCATGCTATTTACTTCAAAATTGGTGCTAGTAGATGCAGTTGGTCGTTGCCATACCCATGAATTGGGTAGCTCGTCAAGTTGACTGCGCATGCGCAGATGATTTGTCTTAAAACGTGTGACTGAGCGAGCTAATTACTCCAAAATCGGTACTAGTACATCCAGTTGGTCGTTACCATGAGATTGGAGAGTTTGTGGAGTTGACAACGAATGCTCAGGTTCTCAATTAA